GATCCCGAGGTTACTTGCACCCTTCCAAGAATGTATATTAACTGAGAGTGCTCACCTTGTATTTAAATTCTACCTCATAATAAAACTGTGAAGTGAGCTGTCAGCAAGCAGAAAGAACCAGCAGTGCAGTTTCTATCAACTTAGGCAGCAATGACATTCATCCTGCCTGATAAATGGAATTGCTGCCAAGTGAAGCATTATATGCCCTCTTACAGCTCTGTTTGGCATATGCCTGTCACTGTCTTTTAACATTTTGTAGTTAGTTTTTTTTGCAATTAGAGATGTATTAACTAAGGTGCTGGTTCATGCTTTTGTATGCATTGGCAACTGTAATTCACTCCTAATTGATCCCTCTAGACACCATACTGCCTCCCTACAGGCTATAATGAATGGTGTTGCAATAGAAGATTTTTCTCTCCAGTTGCTCTGCATGGCATTTTAACTGTGAATACACATATTTGTGTTCTGTTATGTCTCATGTGTACAACAGTCCCCATGTGTAGGTTTAATGGGGGTTGTATAAAGTTACATCGTCAAATATAGGCTTTCTCCTTTTCTGTTTTTACACATTGAAGCAGATTGGTTTGCTGGGCCTACGCTGCCGTTGAGCCCATATGGCAGTCCAGGAATAAAAATTCCCCTTTGTCATGGCATACCGTTTGCAAACGAAAACATCCTAGGATATTCAAAATAGGGTATGGCTAAGTTCATATTTGTTCTTTATATTTTCATGTGAAGCCCTTTTACCAATGATATCATTATACATTTTACTGCTCTAAAACATCACATTTGTATTCAGCGATGTCTCACGAGTACAAGACTATGTCCCACGTACAGGTTTTATGGAATTTGTAAAGTTACAGGGTCAGATATAGGGTTACAAATTAAATGCTCTGCTGTCAGGCATGCCCTATATATATATGTATGTATGTATATGCCGAGTAACTCCTACCACAATTACAGACTTTGCCTAACGGCTCAGTCTTCTCATATAATTTGGGCCTATATATGTGGTTAGCATTTATGGTACTTCCTGTTAATAATCTTATTTTACTGTCCATTACTGCTTACATTTTTTAAGCCCTTTCTGGGCTCTATAGAGGTCTGGTCAAGTGTACTTTAACATAATGTTGGTCATAATTATGTCTGTTCTATGGTTATATGGACATATTCACAGCACTCATCTAACTATGTTATTTTTACACTTTAAATCAAGACATGCCATGAACTACGTCCACCACTTGGGTGTCACCAATAACTATTTATATTTATTTATTTTTATTTAAATATTTTAAACATTCACTAAACCCCATTTAATTATATAATTATGCACCTGTAACTTCTCATTAGGTCCTCATTTGGCCACCCTGCATCATAGGAAAGTGAAGGGTGTGCTAAAAATTGTGAAAACAATATGTATACTTATTAATACATACATACACTGGCATACATACATACACCTCATTTTCAGCCACCCTCCTCTCTTCCTTACCATTTCGTCACAGGAGGGTGACTGTCAGCTGCCTCATCTCACGACCTTTCTCTCTGCCTTCCCGCGCGGAGTAAAGTGGGAGGAAGTGACCGGACGTCACTTCCTCCCAGCAGCACTTGCTTCCGGCTGCATTTTTTATTTTTTTTTAAAGGGGCCCGGTCACGCTATTACAGCGCTGACCGGGCCCCTGAAGATAATAGGGCCCATTGGGTGGCCCTAAATGCTTGGGCCACCTGATGGGCCCCATCAGCGTGTGGGACCCGGTGCAGATGCACCGGCGGCAGTTCTGCTGATACACGTGGGGCCCGGGCGGCTGGGCACCCCAGGACCGCCGGGCCCGTGACAACTGTCACGGTTGTCATGCCCTGATGGCAGCCCTGGCCCAGGTGGGCTTACAGCTACAACCTAATTTCAGCCTTCATGAAGCTCAGGGATTATATATTGCCCTATTATACTGCGTTTAAGTACACCACTCAGTGTAAAAATAAATAAATAAATTAAACAAGATCAAATACCAGAGCATCACTACTGTCCATACTCAATTCACTGTCCATTTCTACAACTTTGGTACAATTAACCTTTTGGTACAATTAATGACATACAACATTTCCAGATTTACAAGGGTCGACTACAACCCTGTCATACTATGATTGACTATCCCTTTCAGCCTTGTTATGCCCACACAATTCCTTCCTTTACGACCCTCTCTCTGCACTCCTGAGAACCAAGAACCTCTCGTTACTAGAGTTGAGCGGACACCTGGATGTTCGGGTCCGGCGGGTTCGGCCGAACTTTGAAACTGGCATTCGGCTCGAACTTGACCCCGAACCCCATTGAAGTCAATGGGGACACGAACTTTTGGCCACAAAAAAGGCTCTAAAAAACTCCTGGAAAGGGCTAGACGGCTGCAAAAGGAAGTAAAATGGGGGTAAGAGTAGGACAAGTGCCCTGCAAACAAATGTGGATAGGGAAATCACTAAAAAAATAACATAAAATAAGCAGCCGCTTAGTAGATAACTCCCTAATTCACACAGTATTAGGGAGATGTCTACCAAAAGGCTGAAAGACCTAAATTGGTCACCTAAATTGGTCTTTCAGCCACATTTACTAATACTAAGTAAATATTACTTAGTATTAGTAAATTCAGCCCCTACTCGCTATACCGCGAGTACGGGGGTGTCTAGTAAACAGTGAGCAGCCAGTGGCTGCTCACTGTAAAAAAACAACAAAAAATGTATTGCCCCCACCCCTGTGCGATGGGTGGGGGCCCTAAATAAGAATGTGGAGGGGGGAACCTACTGTCCTCCCCCCGGCCCCCACCACTGCGCGGTGGGTGGGGGCCATAAATAAGAATTTGGGGGGGACCCTCATGTCCTCCCCCTACCCCTGCACGGCGGGTGGCGGCCCTAAATAACAATAAGGGAGGGGGACCTACTGTCCTCCCCCCAGCCCCCACCACTGCGCGGTGTGTGTGGGGCCATAAATAAGAATTTGGGGAGGACCTAATGTCCTCCCCCCACCCCTGCGCGGCAGGTGTGGGCCCTAAATAACAATAAGGGGGGGACCTAATGTCCTCCCCCCGGCCCCCACCCCTGCACGGTGGGTAGGGGGTCCTAAATAACAATAAGGGAGGGGGACCTACTGTCCTCTCTCCTGGCCCCCACCCCTGAGCGGTGGGTGGGGGCCATACATAAAAATCCCCCCCAGGTGACTAGAGGTCCCCAAACCCCTAGTCACCCCACAAAATTACTCCTACCTACCCCCCTCATCCTAAAAATAATGAGGGGACCCTTGTCTAAATACCTGTAAAAAAAAAAATAGACTTACCATTTGATGTCTTCTTTCTTCTAAAATCTTCTTTTTTCAGCCCCCAAAAAAGGCCAAATAAAAATCCAGAATAACCGACGCACTTGAAAAAAAAAAAAAAAAAAACGAGGGCAAAAATAAAATAATCCTTCTTACTTAATACACC